CTGGCGCATCAGCAACATGTACGACGAGCGTATCCACCCCGAGCACAAAACGGATAATAGAGAGTGACAAAATTTGAACAAAGCTAGCATCCAAAAATTACTTGAGGAAGGGTGAGAGAAGAGCGCAAGTTCATTCCACAACACATCATAAACAGAGAACCCGAGATGATTCGCCAGGAAATCCGTAATTGCCGCAACAAAATCGGCCAAGGTTGAAATCAAAAATTATACAGAGGGTTGGAAAAAGGCACCATCCCACACACATCTCTCTCTACACCACATCACCTCCGATGCGGGCAGTCCGTCGCCTCGCACCAACACCAAGTCGTCACCCCGCTTAGTCCGAGCACGCAAGCCAGGTTCGCCCGTGCGCCACAGTCCGTCGTGGTCCACATGTCAACCCCGCTTACTCGGCACCAGCTCGTCGGATCCCCCGACTCATTTGTGCTCACCTTCCAACTTACTCGTTAGCCGATCCTCACTGATCGCGCTAACCTTTCGAATTCAGAGAGAGAGAACTAATCGCGCTTGCGAAATTTATAGCATGCCTGTTTGCGCGAGAAAACCCGGGATTATGCCGAAGGAGAAGAAAGGAGGAGGTGCCCACGTCTACATGGCCAGGCTGCGGCGCGGGGGACGGAACCAGTCTCCGCGCGTCGATCCAGTCATGCAACGTGGGGACCAGTTGGAACAAAGAAGGGGATGTGCATACACGGGCGAGGGCGAGGCGGGAAAGAGCAAACACAAAGAACATCATGACAAGAAGATTACAGTTACAATTGCGCCCGCCAAAGGTTACAGTTACACGCAAGATCAAGGCGCAAGGGTCAGAGCCCAGATCTTGCCGAGGCACAGTGCGCGCAAGCAGGGAGCGTCGTGCAGACAGACTGCGAGGTACCTAAATTCCTAGTCTAACTCCTGATTTCAAAAAGAAATTCCGAAAGAAAAACGATTCCGAGAGCCCGCGGGGGCTCGACATTAGTTCGAAAATTCAAAAACGATATTCCCGCGCGATGATCGCTCCAAAATTCCCCGTGCGGACAGCAGAACAAGAAAGAAGCTATGGCGACAGTTATTTCTCGCGCTTGCCAAGGCGCGGTCACCCAATCGTCGGCGCAGGACTTTCCCGGCCTTGGTCCAACAGTTTCCAAAAGAAATACGAAAAAGAAGCGAGGGCATCCATGCAACCCATTAGGACGACCTGTCCCCACGCACTTCACCCGACCAGCCCGTTTGATTCCCCCAATGCAGCTTCGCACAGAAAGTCGCGTGATTACAGAAGATAGTTCGTCACATCCTAACAAGGGTTTAAACTCCTACGCTGCACCCTTGTCTCATTTTTGATAACCATTTCCAACTTCTACATCCTGTGACCCTACCCTGCCACCAGTAAATCAGGGTATAAACCCCTTCTCTGCACCTTTGTCATTTGATAACCATTCCCATTTCTGCATCCTGTGACCCTCCCCTGCCACCTCCTAACCAGGGTTTAAACCACCCGTACATCCGAAAAAACAGATTGATCCTCTCCTAAGAATTTGGAGGCCATGGACCGTCGATAAAATGAATCGACGGTTCATGGCCTCCTATTTTTTAGGAGAGGCTCAATCTCCCGTTTCAACTGTACTGGTGGTGTAAACCCCTACTCTGTACCCTTGTCATTTTTCGATAACCATTCCCACTTCAACATCCCGTGACCCTACCTTGCCACTCACAACCAAGGGTATGACACGCTCTCAATCTGGAGGGCAATTAAGATCAAAGAAGTCGAAAACTAATGACAAACCCACTCCCTTCAACGATGCTCACCGCTCTCCATGATGATGCCTTCAGAGAATGGTGCTCCCCTAGGGTGGACCGAGCCCTCTATAGCCCTTTGCCAACTACCCTGCTGTCTCCGGCTCAGTCCACCCTAGGGGACATTCCCCTCATCTGCCCCTGCTCCCCCGGAACATTCATGGCCCTCCAAAATGATGCCCCCTGTAGAGCAGCGCACTACGAGCGGTCCTCTGCCAACTGCTCCCCCTAAGATCGGCTCGTCCTCTCCTCACTGATTCCCCATCAGGCGGTGCTCCATTCGTGTTTTGCAACTGCTCATCCGCTCCGGCCTGCCTACGGCATCTAAAAGCTGACTCACAATCACAAAGCAATCATAGCCACAGCACTACGATCCATACATACAAGAAAGCAACACTTTGCCGTCAAGAGCAAACAAGAAATCTCCATAATCTGCCCTCCTGTTGCAGGGAAACATTGAATGCCCTCCAAGATGATGCCCTAGAGCAGTGCTCTCCTGACTTCCCTCCCAAGATCAAATACTTTTCTCCTCAGTGATGATTGCCCATCAGGCAGTGATCTCCAAACTGTCGCCCAGGATTCTATTTTTCTTTTTTTCTTTTCTTTTTTTCTTTTCCTACTTTTCCTGCTTTTGTTTTTATTTTGGAAAGCCATCATCCCTGAGTGCCAGGAGTTTGTGTAACCAGGAGTTTGTGTGGCACCAGTTGTCGAAAATATATATTCAGCCTCCTGATGAGTCGGTGAAACTCCGACGAAACAGTTTGTCACAGCCCCTCGTTTGTTTTCCTCTTCTCCCTCTCTGCCCACGGTTTACCGGGCAGCTCTGTTTGACTATATATATATATGTATCGTCAAACAGATATAATATATATATATATATCGTCAAACAGAGCTTCCCGGTAAACCGTAGGCAGAGAGGGAGAAGAGGACAACAAATACATGATGAGTTGGTGAAACTCCGATGAAACAGTTTGTCACCGCCCCTCATTTGTTGTCCTGTTCTCCCTCTCTGCCTATGGTTTATTGGGAAGCTCTGTTTGACTATATATCGTCAAATAGAACTGCCCGGTAAACCGTAGGCAGAGATATATGTATTATTTCATTAGCAAAAAAAAGAAAAAGTTCGGTCAAGGTGTTTGATGTGATAAAAAAATATGATGGGTAGTTTTGGTTCAGTAGTAGCAGACTTCCCTAGAGCAGGTGAGGGAGAAAAGAGCAAAAATTAGCAAATATCTTCCCACGCATGTTGTTATTGCTCTATCTTGACTGACAGTTGCCCGAAAGACAGCTATAATGACAGTGGATTCTATTTGGGGGCATACGGTAGAAGTGGAAACCAGGAGGAGCAGTGTGCCACCCGTGTGCTTTTGACCGGAAGCTGCAAGCAGAACTCCTACCCCCTTGTCCCGTCCCCCACCGCAGACAAACTTCTAATGTCTAACGGACTCTAACCCATCATCTCGCTTTTGGCTTAGGGACTGCCCTCTGACCTTTAAACCCCCATCACCACTGAGCCTCTTCTTCCCGACCCGGATTGCTGCTGAGCGCCAGAAAAAGACAAACCGACACGGCAGAAAATGCTTCCTGTTTGCCTGGCACCTTCAGCCATTTGAAGTTTGAACCGATAGGCCACCACGTCGGAGCAAACTTGGGGTTTAATAGCACACCTAAGGCTTTGGCAAAGGGGATTGGGTAAACCCCCTTCCCTGCATCCGTCTCTACAATCGCAATGACAGGGCCCCCTTTTTAGTCACTGAAATAAAGACAGACACAGTTCACCTTCGAGGTAGCAACCTGGTGCAACCAGCCTCAAGACGGTCCAAGCCGCACAGGGAGGAATGGACCCAGTACCCTGTTGCAATCCCTTCCCTGTATCTGTCTCTCCCATTGCGATGACAGGGGCCCCTATTTATTCACTCGAATAAAGACAGACACGGTTCACCTTTAAGCTTGTGACCTGGTGCAACCAGCCTCAAGACGGTCTAAGTCGCACAGGGAGGAATGAACCCAGTAGCCTGTCGCAACCCCTTCCCTGTATCTGTCTCTCCGATTGTGATGACAGGAACCCCTATTTAGTCACTCAAATCAAGACAGACACAGTTCACCTTTAAATCGCCAGTACACGGCCCCAGCCTTGCTGAAAAGAAACTCGTCGCCTATCTGGAAAAGTCGGCGCCAGCGCGGCGGCCGGCGTCTCTTTTCGGCCTCCGACATGGCCCCTTGGCTGATGTGAGGCATGTACTGGTGGCTTAGCTTGCGATCTGGTGCGACCAGCCTCAAGACGGTCCAAGCCGCTCAGGGAGGAATTAACCCAGTACCCTGTTGCAAGCCTTGGTTGTCGCCGGTCAGGGTCAGAGTCCGTGTGATGGGAGATATAGGAGATGATGACAAGCATGGGAAATTGATAATAAAGTGACAAGCATGGTTTTCCTCCTCCTCCTCCTCTTCTTCTTCTTCTTCTTCTTCTTCTTCTTCTTCTTCTTCTTCTTCCTTCTTCTTCTTCCTTCTTCTTCCTTCTTCTTCCTTCTTCATCTTCTTCCTTCTTCTTCCTTCTTCATCTTCTTCATCTCCTTCTTCTCCTTCTTCTCCTTCTTCTCCTTCTTCTCCTTCTCCTTCTCCTTCTCCTTCTCCTTCTCCTTCTTCTCCTTCTCCTTCTTCTTCTTCTTCTTCTTCTTCTTCTTCTTCTTCTTCTTCTTCTTCTTCTTCTTCTTCTTTCTTCTTCCTCTTCTTCTTCCTCTTCTTCTTCCTTCTTCTTCTTCTTCCTCTTCTTCTTCCTCTTCTTCTTCTTCTTCTTCTTCTTCTTCTTCGTTCTCCTTCTTCGTTCTCCTTCTTCTTCTCCTTCTTCTTCTTCTTCTTCTTCTTCTTCTTCTTCCTTCTTCTTCTTCTTCTTCTTCTTCTTCTTCTTCTTCTTCTTCTTCTTCTTCTTGTGCTTCTGCTTCTGCTGCTGCTTCTGCTTCTGCTTCTGCTTCTTCTTCTTCTTCTTCTTCTTCTTCTTCTTCTTCTTCTTCTTCTTCTTCTTCTGCAGGCCATGTGCATGAAGGAAAGAAATCAGTCAGGGTAATGGCCCTAATGGGGGCTTATCTACAGCAGCCCTCAGATGCTCCAGATGGTGGCTAATAAGTTAATAACACTGAGTTTTTTAGGGCCTAGCGCTGCTTTTTTGGAATGCTACTTGGTATTCTGATCTGTTCTCAATTTTGCAGGCAGGCGTTTCTCATGTGCCGTTGATTGATCTGATAGCAATCAATAGCCACGATCAATCCACGGTGTCGCAGCAATGGCCTCACCCATGCGGGCTCTGTCAGCCTTGGCCCCAGCCACCGGGTCCACTGCCATTGCTACTACTACTACTACTGATGCTGTTGCTGGTGCTGCCAGAGGTGGGTGTGCCTCGTCGTTGCGTTGTTTGGTGAGCAAATCGACGGTTGTGATCGCGCACACCACGAATGTTGGACTTCCTCCTTGCGATTCGTCCACCACGCCTTTGACAAGATTGTCACCTTCCACTGAGCTGATCGCTGCGGCCATTGCCCTCAGCTCACGGCTCCGCTGCAATGGTCTCCCTCCCCCGTCTCCTCTCGAGTGCAGAATCCCCCATCCGCGTGGTGGCAGTCTGAGCATTGCCGCACGCTCGTGCTCTGTCGGTGACATCAAAAATTCGCTCATACTTCCGGCGCCATCCGCTTCATCCGCCGCGTTGTCAGCGTCATCATCCACATCAGCCTTGTCTTCTGCTTCACCTGCCCCACGCATGTCTTCGTGGAATCATGGTGGTGTCAGGTCTCTTCCATGGAATGGATCATCGCAACCGTTGACAACATCGATGGCTGTGCCCGTCTTTCAATCCATGGATGCGGAGGAGATTCTTGTTGTCGCTTCCGTCCCGATCCCAGTGGTCAGAGGTGAAATGGCGGCGGGCGAAGCAATGGCTGTTGGATCTGACGGCGTGGACAGTGCAGCAACTGCTTGCTGCTGTGCCCATTCTGATGAACGACCGGGATTTAATCATGCTATTAGTAGTGCACTTCAAGGAGGAGGGATTCCCTGGAAGATCGAAGGCCGGCAGGAGCCGTGTGCACTCCGAGATGCCCGGCTTTTTCGTGCAGAGGCATCCGGCATCTGCAGCAGCCTTGCGACGGCGCTAGAACATGCACATGAGCCGCTGCAACCTCATTGGCGGAGTTTGCCGGGGATGGCGATGCATATGGATGATGAGCCCACTCCAGACTGGAACGACCGCAGTGGTGGTGGTGGTGGTGGTTGTGCCGCATCTCAGTCCAGGCCGAGATCTCGGTTGTACGGATTGTACGGCGCATGTGGATGGTCCGGGTTAGTTCGAAGGAAAGAGCGGAAGCAGCATGCCTGTAGCTGGTCAGCAACTGCTGAAGTGGAGACCATGAGGAGGTTCACTGAACTCTCGCAACAACCAGCTTTGAGTCCTAGCACGATCAGGATCTGGACAAGGATAAAGACCAGCTGGGATTCTATGGTATCTCCCTGCCTTAGGAGAAAATGTCCCCTTTTATGCGTTAATACCTCCCCCTTTTATGTACCGCCTCTTTTTTTATCTGTTAATAATAAGTTGATAACCCCTTTTACGTGCTATGACTCTTATGTATCCCTTATATGTATTATGAGGCCCTTTTTCTGCACTGGTTCCCGTTTCCCCTTTCCCGTTTCCCCTTTCCCC